TTTTTTTTTTTTAATATTATATTACCTAACACTCATTCCCTGAGCATCATCACAACATTCTAAATGTAGTTTCCCATCTAGGACAAACTACATAGTGACTTAATCAAGCATGTTATCATCAATAATATTCCATTTCTACTTTCATACAATGTATACATACATATATGTTTTTTATCCTATCTTTGACCCTCTGCCCTTTCCCCCTCTCCCATTACACTATCTCTGCTATATACAGTTGTCTTCCAGGGGAACCATTGAAAATGTGATACCTGCAAGTAAAGGGAGAAGGGCCACAAGTTTAAAGTTTTCAACAATAGGGATCATAGATTCCATTCAATGTTGGATCAAGGGTGGGTCTCATGCGGATCCCCCATTGTAGGAATGGTGCCGTTGGGCTCTACAGCATGAGCTATCCTCGGGTATCTGGCTTCCTCAAGAATGGTAGAGTAGTTCCTGTTCTTCCCTGAGGCAATGCAGGGCTGGCAATCATCATCTTCTCACTGTCCATAGGTAGAGAAAGTCCTTCTATATAATATATTTCTCGACTGGTTTAAGACAGCTAAAGATTCTTTCTGTTGCTTATAGTTGCAAGTTCTCAATCCTTGTTTTCGGCTTCAGCTTGCTGGTCCGGAGGCCACAACGCCCGTCCTGGAGAGGCAGCTGAATGCCGGGCAGAGCCCCGGGTGGGGGGCCCGCCTCCCGCCGCCTCGCTCAGCGCAGGGCCCCTCCGCCCATTTTATTTTTTAACTTCAGTTTTGTATTCTTTTTTCTGTTTTTTGTTTGTTTGTTTGTTTTATATTTTTACAATATTTATTCATTTCATGAGAGAGAGAGAAGGGTAAGCACTGCCAACAGGATCTCATGCCAGGGCCCACTCCTCCAACCCTACCTGAAACCTTCCAACTCCTCAATTCTCTCAACACACACAGGTCAACCAGAACCAAATCCCAATCTTCATGTGGCCGCTAGCACTGCAGAGTGTTGCATTACTGCTGTGCCACTGTGGCTGGGCCCAGTGGTACATTCTCTTATCTCCATTCTCCTACCTACAGTAAGTGGTAGGACTTTAATTTAGGACTTTAATGCATGCCTCCTTTAAAACATAAAGTTGCTTAATATTAATTTTTTATCTTTTCAATTGATATATTGCTTTGAGCTATTGCTGATGCCTACTCGTCACCCCACATGCTATGTCACTTGAAGCTTATGGCTTCTCACTGCACCATAGGTACCACATTTCCCATATGTGTTCCCTCATTAATAAACCAGTGAGGACTATTTGCTATTGGGGATCATGCCGCAAGGAGCATTTTCACACGGATCTACTCGGATCACTGTACACTGAGTGAGGGGGTATTCAATTCAATAAGTAGGCCTTAAGCACCCAGTAAGTGTCAGGCCCCATTCTACGCATCAGTGAGCAAAATGAACAAGAGGTCTGATTTCAAGGAGCTGATGCTCCACTGGATTTTCTCCAGAGAATATATCATGGACAGAATTACTGGATTTTATGGCATATATGTTAATCATACTAACCGTTGCCAGAATCCTCTTGACAGTAAGTTAAACACCCATCAGTAATATGTGACTCTATTTGTTCGGTTCCAAAGCTTGTCCACCTAGGGTATTATATAACTCTCTACTGTCTAGCAACTTGATAACATAAAATTGCATATCATTCCTCTGACTACTAAAATGTTTAGTGTTTATACACATATCTCTAAGTTACAGAAAGGCTTTACCCTGTGCAAACTGCCTATTTTTTTTATTATTTCCAATTTTTCTGTTGTTTCTTTTTTATGTTTAAGCATTCAAAATATATTTTATCAGGAATTAAGAAAGATTTTTAAATTTTTTTTTAAAAAAACTAGAAAAAGGACAATAAGATAACCCCTCAAAAAGAAATAGGAAATGAATAAGAATAAATAATTGTCAGACTCAATGAAATAGAGAAAAATGACTACAGTAAAATTCAAAGATGTGATATCTTTGAAAAATTGGTTTCCAGGGGAATAGACAAAACTTTGCTACCGGGCAACAAATGAAAGAGAAGGCTGAGGAAAGAAATCCACAAAAGCAGATACAAGCTTTAATATAAAAGTTTCCATTAAGGAATCAATTAAAATGGTGATTTAAAATGAAAACTAAACAAACAAATCGGGCCCACATGGCTTGAGAGGTATGTTCTACCATGCTTTCAATAACAAGGTATACAAATTGCTACATGAAATATTTTAAAATGGGAAAATTGGACATCTTATAATGAGACATATAAGACTATTTCAAAACAAAAGAAGGACACACTATTAAAAGAACATACATGTTAAGAACAAAATATATAAAGCTAGTAAATTCCACTTTTGGCTGTGAAGAATTGGGAAATGCTATGGGGATTGCTTTCCTGACAGAGCTACAAAACTAGCTAAGGTGTCTGAAAACAGACAGAGTAGGGCTTTGGTCTTCAAGAAAAGCGAAAAATAATGAGGCAAGTTCTATGGCCGATCAACCTTACTCCCCAGAAGCAGTTTCCACCCTGAAGCACAGAGAACAGGCACCCGAAGAAGAGCTCCCTGGTCTCAGTTTCTGCCTATGTAGACAGAGTTCAGGCATGTCCAGAAGCCTAGAATCCATGGGATAGGAACTGACAGGCGGGTCTACACAGAGAAGTTGTTCCGCAGGCCTACAGAGGTCTCTCTGTGATTTTGGTTAAATACTAGTATGTGCATACAAAAGACAATGAAAGAACTGCCAGAAGTAAATTGCCAGGCTTTACTTAAGGTCCTGAATATTAGGAGAAACCTAATAAGAAGCATAATGTAGAGTATTTAGAAGGGCCTTGACTCAATTTGGGGACTAGGTAACCAGAGAAAAGGTTGTCTGCACAAGAAATACCAACACATGAAAGAAATGCTTTAGCAAGGGACCAGCAGATGGTGTAATGGTTACATCACTGGACTTCCAGGTAGTCAACAGCAATTTGAGTCGGTAGCTTAAAACTCACAATGGGCCCGTGGGCGTGAGTGCCCAAAATTCCAACAGGAGAATGAAGATGGAGGAGATGGGATTGTAGCATGGCCTTCCCTTCTTGGGGGTGATTTCTCACTTTGTCTATCTGTCTCTCCAGTGAGCACATGTGCCCTATAGCAAAAGAAAAAAAAAAAAAAACTCTCTTAAAACAAAACAGAAGAAAGAAAAGCTTGAGCAAATCAACAGAATCTAGGTAGCTGCATGCCCAATCAAAGCCTTGGATTCTTTAAAGAAATATAAAAATGTCACATAAATAACATAATCTAGAATACCATTTAAAAATTATCAGAAAAGCAAAGAAGCAGGATAATATCATTCACAACTGGAATAAAAAATCTCACTAGGGCCAGCCCCATGTGAGGTCAGCAAGTCAGCCTTGTGCATAAAGGGCCAGACTCCCCTGGCCAACCAGGTTTAAATCCTAACCCCGGCAGTTTGAAAAAAACATGCTGAACACAAGGGCATTCATACCCAACATCCTGACAGGATGGAGAAATGAGAGAAAAAGAATTGCAGTGTGACCTATGTTTTCTTGGGACCTCCTTTCTCTCTTTCTCTGTCTGGTGAGTACACTTGTCTTCTGCCCAATTAAAAAAAAAATCAATAAAAACAAACTCAGAAATAGCAATAAATTATTAAATTAGCAGAAAATAATATTGAGTGCTACATATAGGCTTCATATGATCAAGAATGTAGAGGAAAGTACAAACATAATGAAAAGAGAAAAAGAAATGAAGGAAAAGACAAATATAAAACTTCTAAAGATAAAAATATATAAAACTAAAGCCTGAAACATATAAGCATATTAAGCACTGCAAAATAAAAGATAAGTGAATTAGAAGACAAGGGAATAACATTCTTTGTCTACAAAACTGAAGCATGAAGTGCAGAAAAATTAAACAAAAATCATCGATGACTTGTGAGACAATACAAGCAGTTAACCATGGTATAAGTGGCAACCTAGAATGAGAAGTAGCAAGGGAAAATACTTCAAAAAACAGTGGCTAAAATTTTTTCAAATTTGATAAAATCTGTAGGCCCATAAATCCAAGAAGCTTGGAAAGCCCAAAGCAAAAAATAAAGTTATACAAAAACCCCTCAAAGTAGGATAACGAAAAGAACTTAAAAGTAGTTAGAAGGATGCATTATACGATTGGAATGGCAGTCAACTATTCATCAGAAAATATACAAAGCAAACAAACAAACAAACAGTGCAACATTAAAGTTGTAAGCAAAACATTGCCAACTTAGAATTCCACGTCTAGAAATACTGTATTTCAAAAGTGAAAGTTAACCATCATCCTGCTTCTAGCCCAGAAAGGAGCTTGGAAGGAGGGTCCATGCCCCATGCCCAGAGTATGATGCAGGGGAATCTGGCACCAGCCATTGCCCTGATTTCTCCCTCTGCCAGGCAGAGGTGTATGCAATGCCAGTACAGCAAATTGCAGTGTGGCAAGGTGGGGCTGGATGGCCAGGGACCTAGAGTCCCAGAGGTCTGCCAGGGAATGAAGGGGAAAACTCTGTCATCAGCACCAATGTTTAAGGATACATATCATCCCTGTGAGTGTTAGGGTAAGGAAAGCAGAGTGAGAAAAGAGTAAACTTAAGAAAGAAGGGACGAGAAAAGAGGCAGCACAGAGCTACCAGTACAACTTCAGATGCTAACGAATTTGGCCCATAGGTCAAGCTCTGCCGATATCTTTTAGGTGGGAGAAGAAATATTTATTCCTTGAAAATGTGACAGGCACTTCCATTTGGCCTCTCATACTTGATATCTGGGTCCACACTTGAGATACGAAGAATTTATACCTTCTGTCAGAAGAGTATGGTGCAACTACATGGCAGCAAGTGCTCATCTGAAATTAGCTCACTGATAGTCCCTGAATGAAGACGAGAGATGACTACTCCAGCTTGTTTTCCTAAAGCTGATATTCAGGTGGTGATATCAAGGGACTAAGTAGGTTGAGTAATGGAATGCAAAGGACCTTATGACCTCCTTAGGACAATAATTTTTGTAAGAGAGATTTTTGCTATAGGACATGTTTGCTCGCTGGAGCAACAGAGAGAGGCACAGAAACAGGAAACAAGAAATCACTCCCCGGCAGGGATGGCCATGCCACAACCCTTTCTCCTCCATTCTCCTCTCAGGGTCTGGGACTCAAACCACATTTGACTATGTGGGAGTCCAGTGACGAAACCATTATGCCATTTGCTCGTCCCAGGATGGTAATTTTTAAAAAATCTTTCTCTTAATTGCCAGAGGGCATATACACTTTCCAGAGAGAGACAGAAAGACAGAGAAAGAGGAAGAAAGCACCTCCCAGGGGGTCTGGTCATACTACAACGCCTTCTCCATTATCCAACCTGTCAGGATTTGGGGCATTCATACTCATTCACCTGGTGTGTTTTGTTCAGCCACCAGGGCCAGGACTCAAGCCACAGTTGATTATGGGGAATCCAATACCTTTCACCACTGGGTGAGAGAGCTGGTCCAGTTCAGTGATTTTTCGATCCTTATTCCACTGTTCCTCAAAGGTACCATACTGTCCTAGAAATAGAGTAAAATGACTAAAACCAAGGAAAAGGATCAAAAGGAGACACAGAAACAGTGGCAAAATATTGCAAAAACCGAATGGTAAAAAAGCTGAAGGAAAGAACATGCTGCAATTAGGTGAAGTCTTGGAAACCCACTGATTTTTTCTCTAGATTTTATGATAGTATCAGGGAACTTCCAAACATTTATGGAAATGGAATTAAAGCACAAGATTTATTTTCATGAAAAATAGTTTTGAATTTTATATGTAATCTTTCATAATACACTTTTTCCACAAACTTTTTTATGGCCCCTTTTAGTATTTAGTAAACTAAGTCTGGTCTTTACAGAAAGAATAATTATGTTAATAACTCCCAGTCAGGTGTGCAAATTTTTTAGTGTCTGTTAACAGTCATAATAACTTAGAACTTCTTATTCTATAAATTCTTTATAACTAATTAGTCACTTGACATTTTAGAGCCTACGTACTGAAAGGAAAGCATCCTATGGAGGAAAATGCTTTAGATTATTAACTTTATTAAAATATTGGCTTAAACTGGTTTCCTGTTTGGACAAAGTACATTAAGAATGTAAAAGTCAGAGTTATTCTTTCTTTCTTTTTTTTTTTAGAGGTTTTTGTTATAGGGCGCATGGGCTCGCCAGAAAGACAGAGACAGAGACAGAAAGCAAGAAATCACACCCCCAGGAAGATCGCCACGCCTCAATCCCTTCTCCTCCATTCTCCTCTCAGGATCTTGGGCATGCACACACACATGCCCGGTGTGAGTTTAAGCCACCTGGTCCAGGACTTGAACCGCCATCGACTACATGGGAGTTCAGCAACATAGCCATTGCGCTAACTGCTGGTCCCCAGAATTGTTCTTTCTAAAGTAAAACATGTGCCTCAACGTTAAAAAGATACGATATATTTTTTAATATTTTATCATTATTATTTATTTTTTGTATAAAATTATTTCTAGCTTTCTCACAGCACAATAATATCAATCGATAAGCAGTTTTTAAAAAACTTTTTTCCCTTTATTTTAGCTTTTGAGAAATGGGACACATTCTGCATTTTTGTTTATCTAATTTTATAAATTTATTATTTTATTTTTCTTATCATCTTGCCAATGTAGAACACCACTTACTGGATATAGCAATTTTTTTTTACTTATAAATGCTCATTTTCTTCCATATGACTCAGTGAGAAGAGTAAAATTGTGACTTATTTTGTTTTATTTTCTCATGAGATAGAGAAAGTACAGAGAGAGAGAAAGAAATACCTTCAAAAGCATCTCTACACTTAAATCTTCTCCTAACACCAGCCCAGACAACAGGAATGTTGCATGTGTGCCTGACACGCATAAAGAGACCTTGAGATGTGTCCTGGGACCTTGTCACATGGCCCCAGCATCACAGAGCTCTGCACCACTGCTGTGCCACTGTGGCTGGGAAGAACTGTAAGAGCAAGCAGTAAAAATGCTGAGCGTGACAACACCTTGGAAGCGATTCATTTTGTTTATGCTAAGTAGAAATGTGAAATAGTTAAAATGTCTTACCAGATAATATACTGGCCAACTAGACACCACTTTTGGTTTTACTGCATGCTTCCTCTACGTTCATGTGATAGTGCTATTACACATGTATTAATCAGCTTCAAGGTCGAAATTAAATTGTAAGTTTATTTTAGGGAACTCCTTTTTTTAGAGATTTTTTGCTATATGTTACATGCATCTGCAAGAAAGAGAGAGAGAGACAGAGAGACAGAAAGCAAGAAATCATTCCCTGAGGGGAAAGCCACGCTACAATCCCTTCTCTTCTCTATTCTCCTTTCAGGATTTTGGGCCCGTGTGCACAGGCACATATACACATGTGCCCAGGGTGGGTTCCAAGCTGCTGGGTCAAGGACTTGAACCATGGTAGACTACATGGGAGTCCAACACCTTAGCCACTATGCCACATATTGGTCCCAAAAAGCAAGCAGCCAGGTCCAAGACTCTAATGGTGGTCAGCCATGTGGCAGTCCAGTACCTCAACCACCACACCACCTACTGGACCCAAGGAACTCTACAGAGTAACAATTTAGTTACTCTTTGTAAGTAGTCAAGAAAGACAAAGTTTGGAAAAATTGGAAGGGCAATTGGGATGAAAATAAACTGTGTCACAATGACAGTGAGTTATACTTAGAAGTAAAGAGATAAAGGAACAGTAGTTCTCTTTTGGTAAATAATGTAACTGAAAAACTTTATTATCAAACATAATTTTTTTTTGAGAGGTTTTTCACTATAGGGCACGTGCGCTCGCCAGACAGAGAGACATAGAGACAGAAAGCAAGAAATCACCCCCCAGGGGGGTTTGTCACGCCGCAATCCCTTCTCCTCCATTCTCCTCTCAGGATCTTGGGCATGCACGCACACACGCCCGGCGTGAGTTTTAAGCCACCGGGTCCAGGACGCGAACTGCAGTCGACTACGTGGGAGTCCAGCGACATAGCCATTACACTAACTGCTGGTTCCCTCAAACATAAATTTTGTAAAATCATCATTCAATAACCATATTCACTGTCATTCTTTATAGCAGGGTGTCCTTATCTCTAATATAATTTTTCTTTTTTAAAAAAGAGAGTTGTGAGTTGTACCTTAGAGCATGTACATTCACTGGAGAGAGAGAGAGAGAGAGACAGTGAGTGGGAGAAAGAGAAATCACTCTCCAGGGAGATGACCATGTCACAATCCGTTCTCCATTCTCCTCCCAGGATCTTGGGCATGCACACAGATGTGTCCAGCATGATTTTCAACCTACTAGGTCACAGCTAGAACCCCAGTAAGCCATGTGGGAGTCCAGGACATAACCATTATGCTATCTGCTGGCCCCCAATATACATTTTTAGCCATAAAATTTTCTAAAAGCTGCAATTAAAAAATAAAAATAGATTTCAAGAATTATATGATACTTTTTGATAAATGTGAAAGTGAAATACATAAATACTTTTTCAGAGAAACTAGAAATTAAAAAAATAATTGACAGTAGACCTACACTATAAGATGTTAATGGAAATTTTTTAGGTCAAAGGATAAATGATACCAGGTGGAAAGTCTGTTGTACACGAAGAAATGGGGAGCTACAGAAACTGCACTCTGTGGCCTTTGTACTCTCAGGTGTGTTCACTGGGACTTGGAAAAGTCCATCTTTCCCCTGCTCCTTGTGCAATTAAGATGTCTGCCTCAGTGACAGGCCTGGCTACACTGAAAGGCAGGGACATTGAGCTACAGAGATACTGTGGTTCATTGCCTGCCTTATGCCTCTGAATTTTCAGAGTTCAGCATTTCCTGAAGCACTGACCTCTTCTCTCTTCTTCAACTGAGACTCAGCAACTCAGCTCCAGGTACACCTGTTCTCTAGAAACTGAGATGAATTATCCAAGTGCAGAGACAACAGTGCAAGTTGCTAGGTGAGCATCAGAGAGGCAGAATAGCAGAGAGATCAATAATTACCTCTTCCTGCTTGCTTTGAACACTCGGAATTAACTTAAAGAATTTAGGAAGAAATGTTTAGCTTCCCTGATGACTAGAAACCATCACAGAGACACAAGAAATTTGAGAAACCAAAAATATATCTCTCCCCAAGGGAAAGCATAAATTCCTCATCATCCACAGATAATACTGCGGAAATGTCAGATAAACAATTCATTATTTATAGTGACAAAACTAAATGAGATGTAAGAGAACAGAGACAACGAACTCTAGGAGATGAGGAAAACCTTTCATGATGCAAAAGAAGAAATTTATACAATAAAAAGGAATCAAGTGGGATTGTTAGAGATGGAGACTGTTATACAAGAAATTGAAGCCTCCCTGAAAAGTATTAAAAGCAGATTAGATCACACAGCAGATCTAATTTTGGATGTAGAAGACAAAAACCTCTGACCTAGGAAAAAATATCAAAAAGACAGAAAATTACCAAGAATAACTAAGACAATATATGAATAATACTAGATACCATTAAGTGCCCAAACATCTGGACAACTGATATTCCAGAAGGTGAAGAAAACAATAAGGGCATTGATAATCTATTCTATGAAATCCTGGAAGAAAACTTGCTAAATCTAGAGAGGCATTCAAATATCTAGACTGAACAAATACAAAGGACCCCAAGACAAAAAGATTTTCTCCAAGGCACATCAGAGCCAGATTGGCCAAAACCACAGAAAAGATAAGACATTAAATTGGCAAGAGAGAAACATCAAATTATTTACAAAGATTGTCCCATTAGGTTAACATTGGCCCTCTCTTCGGAAACAATGAAGGCAAGGAAAGAACGGGGAAATATATTCAAAGTGTTAAATTAAAATCAATTTCAACCAAGATTACTATACCTGGCAAGATTATCCTTCATATGGGAAGAAAAGATAAAACATTTTCAGGTAAACAAAACCTGAAAGAATTTACCAACCTCAGGCTAGCTTTTCAAAACATTCTGAAGGGAATATTATACTGGGAAAACTAAAACCAGAGAGACAAAAATAAGAGGATAAAAAAACAACCAAGAAAATCATTAACTTCATGATAGGAGCAAATCTGGAAATCTTGATAATAACTTTGAATGTTAATAGATTGAATACTCTGATTGGGAAAAAAAATAAGTCCTCAATCTGTTGGCTACAAAAAAATGCACCTCATGGATAAAGATGTACAGGGAACCAGTAGTTAGCGTAATGGCTATGTCGCTGGACTCCCACATAGTCGACTGCGGTTCGCCTCCAGGACCCGGTGGCTTAAAACTCACGTCGGGTGCATGTGAGTGCATGCCCAAGATCCCGAGAGGAGAATGGAGGAGAAGGGATTGCAGCGTGACCATCCCCCCTGGGGCGTGATTTCTCGCTTTCTGTATCTCTGTCTCTCTCTGTCTGGTGAGCACACATGCCCTATAGCAAAAAACCTCTCCAAAAAAAAAAAAAAAGATAAAGATATACACAGACTAAAAATGAAGGGCTGGAGAAAGATATTCCATGCTAA